GACAATTCTAAGGGAGTGACTACATTTTTTCGACTTTATTTTCATGTTAGTCTATAGCAGATGCCTAGAACTACGTTAAAATACATAGAATGAAATACGAAGAAGGAAAGAAATAAGTACAATAATACTTCACCATAGGACGGCATTTCCAGTCGAAAAACCCAAAGTCTCCATAGTATATCTGATATAGAGACTAAGTTTTCCGAAGCAACTTTTTGCGAGAAATCCAATGGCACTCTCAGAAATTCTTGAAAATATTTCTGAACCGAAATAAGTAGCTATTTTGGTTTCGAAAAACTTGAAATTAATTTGCATTAATTTTTTTTGTAATTATCTATATTAATTTGGGTACAAAAATTCGTTCAGATTAATCTTTAATTTGAAATTAATTTCAGCAAATGTTTTCTAAATCAATTTGAATGAATTAGTTATTAGAAATTAATTTAAATTAATTTTGTACAGCACTGCAAAGAAATTCGAGTCTATAAATTAATTTATATTGATGATTTCCAGTAAGTAAATTAATGTACATTATTTGTCTTTAAACCGATCTAAATTAATTTCAAATCAAAGATTAATCTGAACGAATTTTTGTACCCAAATTAATGTAAATAATTACAAAAAATATTAATGCAAATTAATTTCAAGTTTTTCGAAACCAAAATAGGTATTCATTTCGGTTCAGAAATATTTTCAAGAATTTCTGAGAGTGCCATTGGATTTCTCGCAAAAAGTTGCTTCGGGAAACTTAGCCTCTAACTATATCAGATATACTATGGGGACTTCGAGTTTTTTCTTTTTTGAAAAAAATCTTCACCAACTATTTGAACTAATTTAGTCTCAAATTAGTTTAAATTAATTTTTAACCGAAAATGAATGTAAACTAATTCTCATGTAAATTGATTTAAATTGGTTTAGATCTAAATTAGTTCCAACGAATTTTTAATTTAAAATTATTGTAAATAAATGCTTTTTCAAATCAATTTAAACCATTCTAAAATCACAAATTCGTTTAAATTAATGCGGCAGGAAATTAACAACGACAAAGTCTGCAAAAATTAATTCAGATTAATTTTAAGTTAAAAATTGTTTTGAATTAATTTCTATCAGATTAGTGCAAATCGATTTATAACTAAATTGAGTTAAAGGAATTTAGAAAAACATTAATTCAAATTAATTTGAGTTTCAAATTAGTGTAGAGTTTTCAAATTAATGTACACTAATTCGAAGCTCGAAATTCGTGTACAGTAATTTAATATGAGACTTTGTGTAATGCGGTAACGAGGGAAATTAATTTTTTCACTAAAAAATGAATCAGATTAATGCGCATTAATTTGAATTAATGTTTTTCTATTTTTTTTTTCATTTATTCAAAGATTTAAATTGATGTGCATTAATTTTGAACGCCAAAAAGCTTTTAAATTAATGTGAACGAATTTCCTTTCAAATTTGTTCAAATTCCTTTGAACATCGAAATTACTTTGCATTAATTCCAAAGTATTTAAAAGTTCCAATGGGGAGTTATGATATCAATGCATCGGTCAAATACATTATCAACGAGGAAACGAAAACGTTCACCTTTAACAAAAACAAACTGTCTTCAAATTAAACTAATGACTATCTTGACTACAAAATCTTTCTCCTGACTCTTAGTAATATCGAAATTCTAATGTGATCACGGTTGTCTCTTCCAGTTACTTTTCGCATAAATCTTTCCTATCATTATAAAAAGCATGACACTATTGTATTTTCCTTGTATTAGGAAAAATATTTTGTTCTAAGAAAGCCTAAACAGTATGAAGTAGAATGAACTGGAAAAGAAAAGTTCTATTTTTGCTTTAAATGTGTTGTTACCAGTTTGATAAATAAATAATCTTTCGAAACACAATAATTGACTGTCTTTGAAGGAGTACATACAAGTAGAAAAGAAAATGAAGCTTGATATATATATATAAAGTAAAACTAGTATAAAATGAATTATCCTGTAGTGGCTGTGGAATATATTTTAGAATGTTCCCATAGCTACTTCTCAACAATTTTATGAGTGTTTTTAGTTTAAACAATACATTTCTTGTCTATATTCACGAACTTATAGCAACGTTTCCTGCGAGCCATTGTTTCGTTTCTTCAGGATAAAATCCTACAGACCTTTTGAGGTAAGCGTAGTAAGATATCTGGCTACAGGTCATAAGAGGGAGGAAAAAATTTCGTACGGTTAGCTGAGTAAAAAATCTTACGAGATATATCCGACAAGGCGGAGGAACGTTTTCGGTAGGGCAGTTTTTTGCAAAAATCTGCAGGATATAACTAACATCCACAGGATTTGTGCAAACTTCTGCGTGCCAACGCAGGATTTCAAAAATTATTTTTTCAGTGGGTGGGCCTCTCTTCTTGAGTTATAACCGTTTTATTGAGTTTTTGACCTAATGCAAAGCACTTCTTGATCAAATTGAATGACCGAATTTCGAGCTGAAATTTTGTTCATAAATAGGTCTCATGATCCTTGGAATATCCCCAAAGCTTTAAACAAAATGGATGTTGTCTTAACGATAATCATTAATCAATCAATCAAGAGATAATCAATTTCCAAAAAAGGCCTAGATTTTACAAAATATTTGAAACATCGAGATTTCTTGGGAATCTAATTAGTATCTTGTTAAGACAATCATGAAATACATGAACTCAGAAAGGAGGAGGGCGGATAAGGGCGTTTTGCGGCCACCCATATATTTCGGTTTTTGGTGTTGAAATCAACGTAGGGTTGGCTCCTGCTAATATTCCAACGGTTGGTTTCGCCATATCCAATCGATTTTTTGACCCCTGGACTCCTTGCGAGGGGATAATCAACAATTTTTTGTCTTTGATTCGATTCAAATATGATAGCTCGGTAGAGTTCACATTTTTTCTGATTCAGATTATCGATTATAGAGCCGTCCAAATTTTTATTACAACAGCACACTATTGATTATTTATATCGCCTAGTTTTTGTTTATTAACTATACAGGCAGCAATCGATGATGCCGGCAACGGACCCAAAAAGTACGCTTTTGACCCTTTATCATGCGGGTTTCATCATTGACAAGAAGAGCGAAAAAACACCCTAGATGGTGCAGAAAAATCTGCTCTATTTAAATATCGTTGAATTACCTCGGTCAGATATAATTTTGGTACCAAAATCTAGATATATGGCCTCAAATTGAAAAACTCAGCCTCCTTGGCGATTCTCGTCCATTATGCAAAGAATGTAGCGTCAAAATTTTCCAGCTAGCCTAACTTTTTAAACTCTCTCAGGAAGCTCTACTAACTTACTGAGGATCTGTAGAAAGCTCGTAGAAACCTGATCCATAGCTTGTTCGTCTATTCTGAGCTCAGATTCGAAGAGTGCGTAAAAAGTTAGGCTATGCTACGTCTACATTCTTTTCATGACGAACGAGAATCACCATCGAAGTTAATTTTCTGAATTTAAGCCCATATAGCTAGATTTTGGTACCAAAATTATATCTGATCGCGGTAATTCGACGATATTTAAATAAAGCAGATTTTTCTGCGCCATCTAGAGTGTTTTTTCGCTCTTCTTATCACATTAGAAAATTAGATACGTTTGCCGCGCTACACCAAATTTGATGAAATTAAGGGAATATATAAAGAATTTCATGGAGAATCCGACAGCAGGGTTCTTATAATTATACTTTGAGTTTTTACGGGGGTCACCACAGTCGCTGTGGTTTTTCATCGTAAATTTCACCGTGTTTTTCCGTTCTGTCGTTCTTTTTCTTTTTCTTTTCTTTTGTGTTTTTCTTCAGATCGATGTAAAAGCTATTGTTTATATATAGCCGGTCAAAATATACATATCGATTTCAATTGACGTATAAACATTGGGAGCATAAAAGAAGTCACGTTTCTCTTACTGTGCGACTGACAAAATAATCTTTATTTTGAAAATATAAAACATTTCATTTTTCCTCATTTCGAATGATTGACTACATCCAACTTTACACATCTTTTTTCTCGTTATCATAATTTAAACTTAAATGAAAATTTTGGTTCCTCCTAAGCGATGTTCATTCATATCGAGAAAATGCATTCTGATTAGAAATAATTACTAAAGAACGATTAACTTTGCTTTTGCAGTCACTCGATTGATTAGCCGTTTTTTCTCAAAAGACTTTCAGTTATTTCAAGACGGGAAATTATTTTGAATCTCACTTTCCTCTTCTACGAATCGCTTTTCAGATGAGAAGACAATGCTTTATGGATGGTGAAGGCTCTTACATGGACTACCGATGAGTTCTTCCGTATTTTCATGCTTTATGCTCATTTGGATTTTCACAAAATTATTCAAATGTATTTAGAAAAAAAAATGCACTAACAAGATATGGGTGACCAAACTAAAGAAATAGTAGACATCAAATCAAATTTTATAAGTTTTCTGTTAAAGAAAAACAATTTTCTTTTCTTGAGCAGGAGAAAAAGAAATAGGAGAACAAGAACACTTGGACAGAGAACAAGAACACTTGGACAGAGAACAACAAGTACTGAAAAAGGTAGATTTTTTAAAACAACAATAAAACGATAAACCAAGAAAAAAAAATGAAAGAAGCAACAGAGAAAACAAGCATTACTATATATAATTTAGGTAAAGAAAAGCGTGTATGATGAACAAATAACGTATTATTTGTTTCACTGTGATTACTGATATAGCTATCAGATACCAATACAGCTAATACAGGAAAAATAGTACATGGTACAAAAAAATCCAAAACAGCAGACTTTTGTAAAATAGTATTATATACATAATATGACAGTTTAAAAGAAAAGAAAAAAGAATCTACATTTGAATTTTTTAATTTATATACACATTGATTCAACTTAGCACTAGAATAAAAAAGAGATAAAAAGGATACATTGCAGATTGTTTTAATTGTTTTAAATAAAAAAAAAATTAAATGTTTGATTTTGAGTGCTTTTATATAAGTCCTCAACTTTGAACAATTCACGTACAACGTTTCTTTCATCAGATGTTAAATTTACACTAAAAAATGACGCTAAATCACTAATAGCAGCACAATCATGGATTGTTGTTCCACAATTATCCGCATCTAGATCACCACAACATATAAATACCGATGAATGGTAAGAATCCAGCGCAGAACAAACATCGGAATTACATTCAACATAATAATCAAATAAAAAAAATAACACAATAAATGATAAACTTAATGGTATAGTTAATTTTGCCATTAAATCCCAAAACAAACCTAAATGGAAAAAAATTTGAGCGATATGACTTACCCTGTGAGCAAATGGAAGATGAGCAAGTGAATAATAGTGAATAATAATAATAAAGTGAATGATAGATTATGTATGGATCATTTTTATAGTAGAACTGTATCATTTTTCCCAGCAGTTGATAATTATTACTCGATGCGTCATTATTTAGTGAAAGGTGACATATCATTTTAGGGAAGAAAACGATGCTGAAACAAAACCAAAGACTCAACCTTCCCAATATTATTAATGAGTTGATATGCAATGAGTAATGAGTTGAAATTAAATCAATTTAAAAGTTTATTGTTGAACAACGCCATAACGACGCTGCGTTGCTCGCTCGAACTATAAAATAAGATAAAAGTTTTATTCACTTCCACCAATGTACTTTTCATTTTTGCTCAAAATAAAAATTTGATGAAAGAAATTTTGCTCATTTTGTAGTTGCTTAAAACAGATTTGCGCATCTTCCATTTGCTCAAAGTCCTTTTGCTTAACTAATTTTTTGCTCAAAATTGTTTTACTCGTTTTCTATCGCTAAAAGTCGTTTTGCTCATATTCGAGGTTGGCATCGACTTCAAACCTTGAATCGGAAGGAATATAAACGATTTGCTATAATACAGAATTGAGGTGTAACATAATGCAAATGTCGAGTAGGACTGATGCCTACCGAATCAGCATGATACACTCACTATTCTATTTCTCATAAGCAAAACGAACTTATGACTCTCATATCGAAAAACGTGTTATGTTTAATAGCTGATAATTATATTTTGTCAGCCAACATTTTTGACTTTTGCCTAAAATTAGAATTAATTTGTTTAAATAGAAGTGAATAGAGATTAGGTTTTCTGCTCACGTATTATTTTGCATTATTAATTAGAAGATTTTCTTTAACGATCTATATATCAAAAAATTTCAGTTATACGTAACTTCACAAATCATTATGGGAATATTAAATTTTATTCGTAGCTCCTGCTTTTTTTGGTCTTGCAGGGAGAGAACTATGACTCGGAAACGTTGTTCCTTAGCTATTTCTGTTACACGCATACCTTTTTCATAAAAACAAATTTTCTTGTGGAAGATTAACCGCCCACCTATCACGCCAGAAAAGTTCAGTGAAATTAGTAAAATTTTTCCAGAAATAATAAATATAAATTGAACTATTTCTATACAATGAAAACGTTAATGCCTTTTTTTTTATTGAACTCATGCGAATATGAAAAAGTATCAAGATAAAGGTCAGGAAAAAACTGATATCTTAACATATATATTTATTTCATCAATACATTCCTAAATCCAAGAGCACATATAAATATACTACTATATTTTGTATAATTTGTCTTCTTTTTACTTAAACTAATATAGTGTGCGTTCCTTTATCACAGTTCAGTATATATAAGCTAAGTCAATCACAACAGTCTACACAAAGTGGCAAGTGAAGTAAACGGAAGTTTGAGTTGAGAGAGACTAATTGAATTTTTGGAATTGAAACTTCAAAAAATGTAGAGAAGAGTCCGGGGAAATTTCCAATACTTTGAAATTTTTTAGAACTAATGATGACTAAAATTCATACATTAATGATACTAATAATTATTATATATACATCAGATCAATGGTCAATACGAGAAAACGATACGATTATGATTGATAAAGAAACGAAATTGGTAGCCGAAAAGGTTGGACAATTAATGCCTTTAAGTGAAACAACTGGTATTGCTATAACGATTCCAATTTTTCAGTTTGGATGTTTTTTACTTCCGCCGAAATTTTTTAATTCATTCGTTGTTTGTACAAATTCAACCAACAATAGTCTTACTGATTCAAATGA